GGAGGTGGGCTCTGTCCCCAAAGGTCTTGGTGCTTACGTTGACCCCCTCGGTGGCTGGCAGGACACCTGGGTGGGCTGCTGGCATCGGGCACCGCCTGTGCCAACGTTTACCAAGGCTTCTCGGACTGCATCCTCAAACTGGGGAAAAACATGGCCACGTATGAGGAGATGGATGGCATCGAGCTGCGGGGGTTGCACCGAGTCTGTGGGTGAGTATGGCCCCACGCCAGGACCCCCTGCATGTCCCACCCTTTTTTTTCCTGGAGAAGGGAGGGTTGAGGAGGGTTATCTGGTTATCTGTGGTGCACGGCCAGCATGGCTTTTTGGCATTGCCCCTGTACTGGGTGCTGCTGTCTGAACTCTTCTCCTCCTGCTGTCTTGGATGCTGGCGGTGCATGCACACACACCGATGCTCCCCACCTTGCTCCCATTTCAAACAGACCCAGTGAGCTCCCTCCATCCGTCCATCTGTCACTCAGCTTCAGCCGGAATTTGTATTTCTGGCCATTAGCAATAGCTCCAGCCCCCAGGACTCATCCTGTGACCCACTGCATGCCCTCTGTTCCCCAGGAAAATCTCCCCTGGACACCCGAGTTTCAGCCAGCGACTCGCACGGGGCTGGGCTGACCCAGGGAGCAGCCTGTGCCCGGTCTCGAGTTGGATCCCCTTGCCCAAAGCTAATCTTCTCCCTCCCTGCCAAGACCCTACATCTTCCTGGCTTGAATTTGCCCTACTCCTGGATTTCATGAGTTTGTAGCAAGTGCCCGAACCTGACAGTGTTGGGAGGATGTTAACTTTAGCAGAGTGGAAATAATAGTAAGAGTTGGGTAACGAGAGGTGGTGTTGGGCAGGTTTGGGGAAAGGTCTGCTTAAAAAGCAAACGAGCAGAAGTGGTGAGGTGGAGGGGGACAAGTGAAAGGTGGAAATAAAATATTTGGGGAGCTAAATGGAGAGGCAGCTCTATGTCCCCAGCAGTGAGTTGTGGGGAGTGAAAAGGAGGTATAAGGAAATGCAGAGAGCAATTAAGGGAAAACCCATGTGCCTTGGAAAGGTGGAAATCTGCCAGGGCAAGGCGGAGGGCTGAGTGCCCTGTGGGTCAGGCTTTCTGAGCTGCTGAAAACCACCCGGCGGGCTCGGAGGGGAAGGCATCGTCCTTAGCGATGGGGTGGAGGCTCTGGGATCTGCTCCGCGGTGCCAGCACAGCTGGATGGCAATGGATGGGGCAGCTGGGACGGGGCAGTTGGTGGAGGCAGGTCTGGCTCCCAGCAAGCTGGGACAAGGAGCTCGTGCCGCTGCCGAGGCAAGCAGAGGGTCCCCAGCCTTCCCACCTGCCCCAGCCCAAATATCTAACTTTGGTTGTTGTCAGAAGTGGAAAACACTTCCACAAAACTCTTTTGCTCAAGGAGAAAGTAAAAATAACTATCCCTCATTTTTTAAAAAATTTATTTATTTTGTCCGTGCATTCCCCTCATGCAGACGGGCAGTTGGTTGTGACATCCTCTTTATTCCCCCTTCTCCATAGGACAGCCTAGCTCAGGTTGAACAGCCTCTCTGGGACGTGGTAGAAGGCTGGGTTGAAATGGAAACTGCTGTAGTTTGGGCTGCAGTATATACTTTTTTTGAAAATGTGGCTTCTTGGTATAAGAAAACAACTGAGCATGCAGCCATTTGCTGAAACTCGTATGAAATGTGTGAGTTAAGGTTTGTTTTACAGGCTCTGGGGCACAAACCATCACAGACCAGGTCCTGGGATCTTCCCTGCTGTCAGGGCTGGGGCTCTGCACCTTCTGGGACGTGCCAGGTTCTCCTGCTGGTCCCAGTGCACGTCTTACTGGGCTTGCCGTGGCTGGAGGAAAAAGTTGACGATGTCCCAGCTTCCTGCCAGGAAATATTCTGAATTATTGGCCTTTAACCTTCAGTATTCTCTGCTGCCATCTGCTTTCCTGGTGCTGTGGTCCCCTCTCTGGCAGCGTGGGTGAGGGATGGACGCGGAGCTGGGAGCCGGCGTGGGAGCTGGTGGTTTCTCGGTGCTGCGCCAGAGCCAGCCTGGCCAAGTGGCCTGACGGCAGCCTGCCTGGCTGAGCAGATGGAGGTGGTGAAGGGTAAAACATTGGGAATTGCCATCCCAGCTGAAGGCAGAACCAGGCAGGAGCTGTCATTGCCCTCCACCTTCCCCCAGTCATGCTTTGCCCGAAGACATGAGCCAGGTTTAACTCTCACCTGGCTGAGCTGCCTGCTGCTGCTGCGGCAGCTCGGGAGCGAGCGCCGGAGGTTACCTGGGTTGGCACCAGCTTTTCTCATTATCCGAGGACATTTATTCCACCACAGTGACTAGGTTTAATGAACTCTCTCACAGCTGGCGTTCTGACGTAAGCCCCGGTAGGAAAATGAAGTATGTAGAGTTCTTGGGTCTGCACAAGGTATCATCTCCAGCACAGGGCACTTGGACAAAACCGAGCCGTTCCCTTCCCATGTGCAGGGTCCCTGCTCGGCCGGCCAGGCTGCATCTCCTTCCCGAGGGGTGGCATGTGTGCCCGGTGTCCTGGCGGGCACCGGGAAGGTGGCAGAGCAATTGCTCCTGTCCTCTAGGCAGTCCCCAGCTTGCAGGTAAATTATGGTCGGAAGGAGGTGCCCAGCCCCAGAAAATGTGGGACAGGACAGAAAAACGGAGGTGGAGGGGAGGGCAGGAGGGTGCCTTGGGGTGCGAGGTGCTGTGGGCTGGCAGAGGCTGGGGAGCCGGCTGGGACCCAGGGGGGTGCTGCCCACGGCTGGTCCCTGCCTTGCCCTGGCATTGGGTGCCAGGACACGCGTTGCTCCAAAGAAGCTGCGATGGAAAAATGCTTTTGCAAAGCTCTTTTTTCAGGTAAAAGAAAGTCTCTTTGAAAGAAATCATGGGGGGAAGGTTAGTGGCAAGCGTGGCACAGAACCTTATCTGTCCCTTGGGGAAGTTTTTGTTTTGGAGAGGAACGACTTCCAGAGGAGACGATGGCCTGTGGCATTTACTGAGACTTCTGGGCTCCTGCTGTTTTACTTTGTGGGTTGGTACCTACAAAACGGAGATCTTGCCAGTGATTTCAGCTGTGTTGGGACTTGCTGACACGCTGGTGTACATGCAGCAACCTGCCAGGCTGTAGGTGCCCTCTCCATCACAGGGCAGCACCTACAGCAGCCTTTGGGGAGTCTGGTAGGGAGTCTAATCCTCCCATACTCAGTAGCCAAAAAAAAAAAAAGTCAAAAAAATCGGGCAGGATGCCTGTTCTGGTCCTCCCCACACCACGCAGGGGGACACGGCCCAGCCTGCTACCTGCTGTCCTTCTCCCCGGGCAGCTGGAGCCCACCCCTCCGTGCTCAGCTTGACACCTGTGGGCAGGGAGCTTGTTGGAAACAGCTCAAAACCAGCTTCTTCAGAGCCACCGTGCTTCTTCACCAGAGGTAAGGAAGGAGCTCAGAGAGAGGATGAAGCCTTGGCAGGCTGGGTGCTGCTCTGGATAAACGCAGCCCAGGGTCATCCTGCATGGTGCCAGCCCCAGCGTGCTGGACCGGTGAGGTGGTGTCCACCAAGCCCCTCCTGGGAGAGTTATTGGCAGCTGTGGTTTTCAGCCCTGTTTCTGCCAGGGTTTTGCCCTGCCTGGTTTTACCTCTGGACCTGAAAACAAAAAATCCAAGTTGCCATCCACAGGAGAGGCAGCCAAGGGGGTCTTATGCGAGCAGCTCCTGGTTTATTCCCACAGGACTGTGGGTTATCTTTGCCTGTCTTGTTTTTTCCCTGGTGTTCCCCAAGACCCTCTTTCCACTGAACGTAATCTTCTCGCGCAGGGTAGTACCCAGCAGATAAAAGGAGATGTGTCTGATGAGAACACAGTGAATAACTCCTCCTGCCCCTGCCCATACCTTAGTTATAAAGCTGCGGGTGTCTGCGGGAGCTGTTGTCCTTCTCCTTGCTTTTTGCTTGCGTTTCACCTTTGACTCAGCTTGGAGAAATCTATGAATGAAACGTGCTGGGCCTTTGTTTGCACCCTGTTTTAGATACTCAGGGTGCTCAGTGCTGAAGGGAAACATTTGTTGATGGAAAATAATGGATTTTATTGACTGCCACAGAAAGGGGGAAAAAAAAAAAAGCCATGAAATAATTTCAGTGTGTTTTGAGGGTTGGAGTTTTAGCCAAGACGCTCTGGGAGACAATGGAGGGGATGAATAGTCTGGGCAACTTGCACAAAACACAGAGGTTTTTGTGCTCGAAGGGCGGGCTCGGGGCAGCAAGGCGCTGCCTGGCATCGTGGTGCAGTGCTAATGCAAAGGGACCGACGGTGTGGTGTTTCCCCCGGCTGCAGGTACTGGGATGAATTTCACACGTGTGCCCTGACGGCGCTCTGGCAGTGCCAGAAGGAAGCAGCAGCCATCTGGGAGATGCTGAGAAGGGAGACTCGAAAAATCAAATTTCAAGGCAGCTTGTTCGATCTCTGCAGCCCCAGCACGGCCCAAAGCTTTGCCTCGACCCACATTCCCAACGTTTCCATCCTCGGCATCCCTCTCATCATCACTTGGCTGAATTTATGAACTGCAGCTCTGGAAGTATCACAACAAAGGTGGTGGCAGTGTATGTCATGGCCACTTTCTGGTCGTTTTTCCAAACCTTTGAGGAATATGCTGTGTGGTGCTTAGCGAACACTTGGCTCCATCCTGCGCCTAGGAGACATGGAAGAGCTCAGCAGCATCTCCTGGTTTTGCTATTTCTCGGTAATTTGGAATAACACCTGTCCTCTTTTGCCTCAAGGCACAGGCACAGATCTGGCTGACTGCAGAATTTGGGAACTTGTAGATATGGGGCAGAGGATTGAGGGGAAAAATGATAAATTGGTTGTGAACGCTGGATTCTTTTGTGCTCTTCTATGGCTGCTGAAAGGAAACCTGTTTGCTTTGCCCTTTCCACCAGATCAACTCTCCAGGTTTTTGATTTGGGTACTGAAAACAAGATGGGCATTTTTACCCCTGATTTGTGAGGTGCAGGGGATGGTGTATGTCCTGTCAAAGGCAGAAAGGAGACCTTACTGCCCTGTGCTGGCCTTTTTTCTTTCAGGACATGGTGAAACACCTGCTGAAAAATAATCATAGGTGCATGACGTCTCTTGCACACATCTGGATTCTTGAGTAACTCCTGTGTTATGTGTAAATCCCTTTTCTAAGGAAATAGAGGGCAAAAATACTTTGGGGGGGGGGAAGTGTCAAGCTAGCAGAACAGAAAGGATTTATAGCAACTCTTTTGCTTTAAAGCTTTCCCCAAGGTACCTGTAAGCAGCTCCGTGGGTGGCAGTGTGTAATTCCAGAATATTAAAGTTTGTTGTAGAGCCTACAGCATGGTAGAAGTTATTTGTCCTGGCTCTTGTTTGACAGCACAGTGTCATCTTGTTGTCTTTGCAGCTCAGAGCGTTGTTAGTTTTGCAGCTTCAGTACAAGCATGAAAGTATTTGCGATACAGAGGTGCTTGCAAGTGATTTCTGGATGTGTTAGAAAAAACAACATTATTGGGCAGTACAAGGCAGTTCTGTGTTTTAATGATGCTGATGAAGCTCTGTGCCATGCCTGGCTACACAGAGCCATAGGAGCTGTAATTAGCGGGGTATTTCAGCCTGCTTTTTCTAGCTGTGTCACATCTTGGTTGATTCCACAGATTGTCTGGCCTCTTACCAGGGCTCTTGCTTTGTCTTCAGTAGGGGCAGGCAGCTGCTAACAGCGAAGGATAGCCCTGTGCAGAGCTGGGGAAGCTCGCAGCTCCTCGCGGTCTCGAGAAATGCTGAACAAGGACCTTGCACTGCTGGTTTGAGCGCTGCCTGCCATGGGAGCGGGCACAGCAGTAGGTATCAGCAGCCGTGAATGGATCAGGAGGTTCTGAAACGGTGTCCCAAAACCTGAAAATGTGCTTTACGGTGTGAGCAGGGGATCTGGGGCCCTGCTAGCCCCAGAGATGGCACTGGATGTGCTACAGGCATGTGGGCAGGCTTCTCCTACAGCAAAGGATCTTTTTGCCAACAGTGGTGGTGGGTCATGCCGCTCTCCTTTGCCATTCATATGTTCTTCCTCTTACCTTCCCTATGACTTAACATTCTGCTCCTGCAGCAGCAGGAGGGAATGAATAAATTGAGGCAAATTCCAAGAAATAAGTTGGGGAGCAGCAGCTGGTGTTCAGACAAGACTTCTGTGTGAAGCACCTAGGCTTTCTGCAGACAACAGAGTTGTTACTTACCTACTCAGCATTTCTCGCACAAAGCCTTATGGTAAGTAGTAGAGAAAGGGTAAACCGGAGCACTGCAAAACCTGAACCACTTGGCTGCTTTGGTTTTTCTCCTTATTCTGCTCCAACAGCAGCAAACGCTGTTTGAACCCATTCCCCCCTCCCCTATTCTGTCTTCTCCTGCCTGTGGTTTGTAGCAGGGGAAAGCTGAAGCAGGTGGGTATCGTGTACAACTACGGCTGGAGTCTTTAGGATCCAAATCCTGTACCTGCTCTTTGTTTAGCATAGATCTTGAATGCCTTTAGGAAAACAAATAAGAACAATGTGTGTCTGTCCCACAACCCTTAGCTTCTCTTTGGATTTGGCAACTTCTTCTCTGTTAAAATTTTCTACTTTTTTAATAGCTTTGGGGAAGGGGAATGTAAAAGTCTCAGCAGAGATCGCCAAGAAGTCTTCATTTTGCAAAACCATGCATGCAAATGGCTAGCTGACACTACTGCTGTCTCTGAGAAGAGCAGGTGTTGGGGCGTATCTTCCCTGGAAGCAAATCCCTCAACTATTGCACACAAAAACCAAAGGTTCATTAAGAAACAAAGACCATCTGCCACCATTCTGGTATGGAGCAGCAGATTTTTTTTTTAAAGACAAAGGTGCTCCTAAACCTGACTGAAAGCATGTGAGTGAAAATTAGGTCTCATAGTATGGGAGTGATGAGTTTCAGAGGTTCCCTCCTCAATCAATATTTCATTTTTAGCAGAACTTCCTCTATGACTAGCACAATTACAGTAGATCTCCTTTCAAAAAAAAAAAGTAACATACAGATTCAGTCTTCATAGGCAGTCAGCAGACTTTCAGAAAGCATTTCTGATCCTACAGCACACTTCATGCTGATGCGGCACAGCTTGTTAGATGTCCCGCAGCCTCAGTGTTAAATTCACATTTATCAATGATTCTTCTCATGGCCTTGCTCCGAGTTTTTCCAGATACAAGGCTGTACCCAGACTTCAGCCTCACTGCAAGGGAGGCTGCTGAAGCAGTTACAGCATACCTCATGTAGTCAGAAAGTCAGGGGGTAAGTGTTCCTTGGTCCAAAGTTTTCATCTCTGGTCTTACCGGGGAATAAAGATAGCACCTCTTTTAATAGAGTCTCACAGCAACTCTGGGATCAGCTGCCCATGCTCCTTTAAGAAATGGGACAAATGTGGCTTTCCCTCCTTGCTCTCATATCCACTGTAATTAGTCTTCTAGCTCACACTTGCCTCAAGACGGTCCCTGAAGAACACTGGGGTTCACCCTGCGCTTCGGTGTGGTGGTAAGCCTTGAATTAAACCTGCAAACTTTCCCTGTGCAGGACTGGGATGTTCTCTCTCAAGAATAGCAACAAACAGCAGGAGAGGACAAAATGACCCTGAAAGTCTTAAAATACAACTCACACCAAGCCAATGTTTGTCAGCCCTGAGGCAGAGCGAGTCTTCTGCTGTGCGCCCTGATCCGTCGCATGCATGTTCACTGCTCTTTTCTGAAGGAGATACTGGCACCTACTGGAAGACCAGTTTATATCTAGGCTGAAGGTGACTGGAAGAAAGGCAAGTATCCTTATATATGAGAAACGAGGAGATTTTAAGAAGGGATGAACTGTCTTGCTGACTGCACAGCAGAGTTGCAGGGCAAGCCCTAGGAAACGACCTCTGGGTGGCCCTCCAGCAAGCGTTGGCTCCTGCCCAGAAAAAAAAACTTGTGTAAACTTTCCTCTGAAAGACTGCTGCTGTTTGAAACTGTGCTTAAAGGGGGTTTTTGGTCAGGAAGAGGCCCTGGCGAAATCTCAGAATATCAAAAGTTCTGTCTAAACAGACAAGTTGCGCCAGGGGAGGTTCAGGCTGGGTAGTAGGAAGAATTTCTTCACTGTAAGAGTCGTTAAGCATTGGAATGGGCTCCCCAGGGAGGTGGTGGAGTCACCATCCCTGGAGGTGTTCAAAAAACGTTTAGATGTGGTGCTTCAAGACATGGTTTAGTGGGTTTAGCGGGCATGGTGGCATCGGGTATATGGTTGGACTTGATGATCTTTGAGGTCTCTTCCAACCATAATGATTCTGATTCTGTGATTCTAAACAAACGTAACTGGCAATCCCTCTCTGCAGCAGACCTGCCAAGTATTTAAAACACCAGGATGTTATCCTGCCTCAATTTATAGTACCTGAATATGAGAACAGGAACTGAAATACAGCTCCCCCAGTAACAAAAGTCAAAAGAGCAGCTTCAAAGAGTTTATCAACTTCTGCACCTCAAATCATGCCACCGCTTTTCAACAAGCTGAATTAGCAAACAATTTAGGCAAATCGGCACTTACAAATATTAGCAAAGGAAAGTTACTGCAGCAAGATGATGCACAGGAGAAAAAAAAATCTGTCTTTAGAATTGGCTTTGTCCTTGTTTGGGATTGCACAAACTGGCCATCCCTCAGTGGACAGCAGGCAGGATGCAGGTCTGCTCACCTGGGCTGTGGGATCTGCAGGAACCATCTGGGCTTTGGCCCCTTAGCAGCAAGGTATTGTCCCTGCCTGCCCACAGGTGATGTTTATTTGAAGTGCCTCTAAATGAAGGCACATCCTGTTATTTTGAGAAACAAGCAGCAGTCTCTCAGTTAACTAAACATCACTTCTAGCAGACCAGATCTGTTGCTAGACTTCTGAAGCCTGACAGGAAGACCCAGACAAGTGGGAAGAGCAGCATGCCTCCAGGACACCTTTGCAGGCTTCCCCTGGACAGCTCCAGTCTTGGGCTGAACATGTGGAGACTCTGGATTGCTGACGCTCCTCCTGAAGCACAGATTATGCTGGCTGACTTCCCGAGACAGCACGCACTGATGCCTTCATTTCAGAGCAGAGGTATGAAATATTTATTGTAGGAAATTTTATGCGTCCCAGACAGTGGGCATCCCACAGCCCCAGGTTCTCTGGCCATATCCTTCTGTTGCCATGATACAGCCACTCATGGTATTTCTTAAAGTGCTCAGCTTCCCAGGAAAACCATAACACGCTCGCAGCAACATATTTTTATTATTACAAAAGATTTCTTCAGCAATCTGCTGTCTGACATCTCTATGTATTAAACATGGAAACAGCAAACAAAACCATCTAACGTTATAGGTTATTTAGGATCTCAGCTGGTGATTCAGGTAAGTACAACTATTTTCTTTCTCCCCATCCGTTTGCTCCTTGACTTTTTTGCCCAACCAAAGCCCAAACAAGTTACAGATTGGAAGCAGCAGCTCCCAGCCCCACTGCTCACTGTGCCAGCTCCCACAAGAAGAGCTGACCAGTGCATTACC